TTAGTCTACTGTCAAGTATCTTTTGTACCTAACTAACATTAGGTACCCCTTTATATCCCCATTAGATTGACTTAAAATCAATATGAACCATTAGATTAAGGTACGAGGTTGGTACGAGTAGGGGTGAGCGTGGGTCGGTACGGTTCGGAGATTGATAAATCTCCAGAACCGTACCAAAGTTCGGAGATTCCAAAATTTGATCTCTGGAACCGTATTAAAAAGTCAGTTTAGTTCGGTTCGGAGATTTTTATTTTTCGGTTCGGTTCGGTATTCGGGACTATTGGGATGGTACGATTCGATATGGTTTAGTTCGAATCTTCGGACATCTCTTATTTTTTTAGATTTTTTTTTAATGACTACCTAGTTATATTTTAATTTTTATATGCTTTAAAAAAAACAACATTCATCAATAATTCATCATATTAAAGATTTTATTTTTGAAATCAATTTTAGAAGTAATTCTAAAGTTTGGTTATTTAATTTTTATATGCTTTAATAAAACCAACATTCATCAAAACTTCCCCATATTAAAAATTTTATTTTGAAATCAACTTTAGAAGTAACTCTAAATTTTAGTTAAAACTAAATTTGTGCAACTAATATTGAAAATTTAAAATTCAAACAAAATATAATATTTTTTTGTAAAAAGATATTCTTTAACCTTTCACATTATTTTAAACAATTATTTTATAATAGAAAAAATTCAATTGTAGATGAAGTATCACTAAGCATGAAAGTTAAGTGAAGGTTAATAGTTATTATTACCATATTATAAAGGATCAAATGTGACATAAAATATATTAATAACACATCTAATGTTATAATTCGGTTCTTAATTTCGGTTTCTTCAGTTCGGTACGGTATGGGACGGTTCGGTTCGGTTTTCGGTACGGATATTTTTGAAATCTCCAGAACCGTACCAATTATTTTTTCGGTTCGGTTCGGTTCGGAGAAAGTCAAACGGTCAACGGTTATTTTTCGGTTCGGAGTGATTTCGGTTCGGTTTTCGGAACAGTTCGGAATTCTCCGAATCCCATGCTCAGCCCTAGGTACGAGATAGTGAAAATT